CCTTCGGCTTGGTTGCGGCAGGCTCCCGCAGGACGTCTCCAAATTGCTTGAGATTTAGCGGGTGTGCACCCCTTCTCCTCCGTCGTCTCCCTCACGTTGTCCCCAGTATCCAAGCCCCACGTTGGGCGCCACTCTGCCCCGGCCCGCAGGGTCAGCAACGCGGGGTACCTGGATTGGGGAGTGGGGATGTGGATGGGGCAAGAGACAAGAGAAATGGAGACAAGACAGTGTTCTGATCAAGTCTCGTTTATTGCAGCTCAAGCATGAGGTTAAATAGAGAATGAGAACAAAGAAGTGAAGAGTGAGCAATCAAATCAGCCAGAACACAGGGGCCCTGACGTACTTTAAGGGAGGAATCTACTGATTAATGGAGAACAGGGCTATTTACTGGAAAGGAGAACAAGGCTGCGGGCCAAGGTTGTGAGCCCCAGCTGTGAGCCAAGGTTGTGGGCAGAATGGAAAGGTCACCAACTCAGGTCTGCGGCTGTGAGCCAAGGTTGTGGGCCAAGGCTGTGGGCCCCGGCTGTGAGCCAAGGTTGTGGGCAGAATGGAAAGGTCACCAACTCAGGTCTGTCAGCAGTTTTGAGAAATGGCTGAGCCTCAGGCTCCCAACAGTAGAGGCAGGTGATCTTTGTGAGTTCAAGCCAGCCTGTTCTAAATAGTAAGCTCCAGGCCAGCTGGGGCAGAGACCCTGTCTCAAAAAGACCAAAAAATAAAATAAAAAGTAAAATAAAATAAACAGGGAAACAGTTCAAATAAAAGCTAGACGATAAGGTGATTTTATTGGTCAGAAAGTAGGGTCTAGAAGTGTGGTTGAGTGGTTGAGCATGAGGCCCTGGTTCAATCTCCAATTACCAAATAAACTTTCTAGAAAGTTCCCTAACTTCTTATTTTGGAGGGGGCCGTAAAGATAGGGTCTTGCCCCAGGGTGGTGGTGCACACCTTTAATCCCAGCACTTGGGAGACAGAGGCAGGCAGATCTTTGTGAGTTTAAAGGCCAGCCTGGTCTACATAGCAAGTTCCAGGCCAGCTGGGGCTACAGGGAGACCCTGTCTCACAAAGACCAAAAAAAAAAATAGGGTCTCATGTAGTCCAAGCCGGCTTTGAATTCATTCTGTAGTAGAGATGATACTTCTGCCTCTACCTCCTTGACAAAAGTTCTCAGATCTAAGGAAATCTGAGCAGATTTTGTAGGATTAGAGTAATGGGAGCATAAGCTCACACCAAAATGTTTTGGCAGGCACTGAGTAGGAGACCTTCTTGTTCTTTTAAATGCTGCTTTTAAATAAGACTGAAAAGTATTTTTCATGTCTGCCCTGAAAGGTGGTGCTGCACCTGCACAGAGGGAGACAGGACTTGTTATGATGCCCCCGCCACTTGTTCGGCACCCCAGTGGGGACCTGAGAACCATAAGATCCGGGGTCCGGACTTCTTCAGCACTCAGCGTTTCACTGGCAGGTAACAGGGGACTATTTGTTCTGTGGCATCAAGGGTCCTCTATGACCTGACATGGGTTGACAGCATTTTGTGATGGTGGCTAGGCTGTTCTGATTGACCTCGAGGTGCACATGTTAATCTAAGGGGTGTTCAGGAAGTAACTGTAACAATCTTAGGAGCTACCGGTGTTTTCACAGGTGTGCTGCAAGACTGGGTGCCAGGACCAAACCTGGGTGTGTCACCAAAGAGAAGGATTACTGTGTGGGGAGCCAGAGCCCTGAGAGCAGGTTCCCGTGGAGCTTGAAGTTGGCCGTACTTGGCATTTTCATCATTGTGCTGTTTGTCTATATAACTGTGGAAAAGAAGCCCCTCTTTCGTTAAGAGCTTTGTAAGCAAAGCAGTGTGTGCAGTGCCTGAGTAGTGCCCCATGAGTCCTGCTTCAGAAAGGAAACACAGAACTTGCAGCAGGGGCTATGGCCACAGCCAGGCAGCTAACCCCTACCCCCCAATCCCTGTGAGGTAGAAGAACAAGGGCAGAATCGGGCAGCATGCTAGAGACATGATTGTTTGGAAGTCCTGACTCAAGTAAACCAACATTAAAGGTACTTCCACTTCCACGTAAGGGCACTTTTCTGAAAAGGAAACTGCCTGGGCATCCCTCCCTCTTCCCTCCTCCCCTCACCCCAGCTTTTCATTTCCCCAAACAAAAGCCTTCGCATTCTTATTACTGCAACCTTCTAGAGCACAGAAACAAAGAGAAAATTATATTCTTAATAAAACATGTCCAACTATCCTCAACTGTCCAGATGGTGGTATCATTCCTTAGTTGACATGACAAGCTGACCGGAGCTCGATACAGCACGGATCTGTGCTTCTCTGGTATAGCTGAGTTCTTCCCCAGTGAGCTGTACCTGACTTTATCACCAGTTCTTACCAGAATCCTGTGGGAAATGCCCTAGTTTGTTTCTCCATTGCTGTGACAAAACACTCTGACCACTACCAACTTGGGGAGGAAAGGGTTTATTCAGCTTACATCTCCTGAGTTGTAGTTCACCAGGGAGCGCAAGGTAGGAACTCAGGGCAGGGACCTGGAAGCAGGAGCTGGAGCACAGACCATGGAGGAGCACTGCTTACTGGCTTGCTCCCCTGGCCCCTGCTCAGCCTGCTTTCTTGTGCAACACAAGCCCATCTGCCCAGGGGTGGCACCACCCACAGTGGGCTGGGCCCTCCCACATCACTCATCAAGAAGATGCCCTTCAGACATGTCCACAGGCCAGTCCAATAGAGGCAATTCCCCGATTGAGGCGCCCTCAACCCAGGTGTGTCAAGTTGACACTAAAGCTATCCAGCACAGGAAATAAGGTGATTTTTCTGTTGGAGCTGCATGACTTTTCTTGGGAAGTTATGAATAAATGTCTGTTTTCCCCAGATAAGGCAGAGAAGACAGACCAAAGAAACTAGGAACCAAAGCTAGCTTGATGAACCAATGAGTTTATTGGGGTTACTCACAGGAGCATGGGTTAGGACTCAGGAAACCTTCATCTCTGGAGTTCCTGTACAATTCCACAGCTCCGCCTGACAGTCTCTTCTCTCTATCAATTCCTTACTGCTTAGTAAGCTTGGAGAGGGGCCTTATGAGTCTTGTAAGATTTCCTGTGCCATCTTGTAATTGTCTTCTGTTTCATGAATCTTCCCTACTTCCCTCCAGGGGGAAGTGTTTCAGTCCAGAAGAAATAACTATACAGGTTTATTGACTGGGAATCATTTGATCCTGAAAGTCTGAAAGAAGATATGGCAAGGAGTAGGGTTAAGTGCTATGTAGAAAGGGAGAGCACATTTAAGCAGGGGGATAAGTCATAGACCGCATTTTAGTCACTCTTTAAGTGAAGCACCCTCCGCTATTAACAAGAGAGGAGCACAGGGGCTGGAGTTCAGTGTGGAGCATTTACCTAGCTTGTGTGAGGTCCTGGATTCCATCCCTGGACAGAAGAGGGAGAAATACTGTAGCAGTTTTCATGGTGGCTAAACAGAGCCTACACAAATGTACAGCAACAGGGGACTAGTTTAATAAACAGCAATATAGCTTCTTGAGAGATGATGAAGCAATCATTTAAAATGGTAACATGCTGATTATCACAGAAACTGCTTTTTTTGAAGATTTGTTTTGTTTGAGACAAGGTCTCACTATGTAACACTAGCTGTTCTGGAACTTGCTATGTAGACCAGGCTGGCCTCAAACTCACAGAGATCCATCTGCCTCTGCCTCCCAAGTGCTGGGATTAAAGGTATGTGCCACCATGACTGGCTTATTTGAAGATTTGATAACTTTATTGTGATGTGATGTTTATGTCCTACAGTTTGCACCAGTGGCTTATAGTTTGCCTCAGTGACTTTCAGCATATTCATATAATTAATTGTACAACCTTCACTCCCAGAGACGCTCCAAAGATGCTTATTTTTTTAATGGTAATCAAAAAAGGACAGATTTGAGCTGGGCATGGTAGCACAGTCCTTGAATCCCAGCACTCAGAGGCAGAGGCAGGCAGATCTCTTCGAGGTTGCAGCCATCCTTATCTATATAGTGAGTTCCAGGACAGCTGGGGCTGCAGGGAGACCCTGTCTCAAAAAAGGACACATTTGTTATAGTATATTATCATAATTATATACTACTAGAAGGAAATATGTCAACATGCTAAAACATCATTGTAGACTGGGATTCTAATTTTTCCCTCTGTTTTTACTTTTCATATTTATTATTATTATTATGGCTTTTTTTTTTTTTTTGAGACAGGGTCTCCCTGTAGCTCCAGCTGGCCTGGAACTCACTATGCAGATCAGGCTGGACTTGAACTCACAGAGATCCACCTGCCTCTGCCTCCCCAGGGCTGGGACTAAAGGTGTGTGCCACCATGCCTGACTACTTTTCATATTTTAAAGATTTCTATAAACACTGAACATTGATTTGCTAATGAGAAAATAAATAATTTTTAAACTGTGCTAACCAGGTGTGTGGGGTGTGCGTGCAGTCTCAGCCACTTGGGAAGCTGAGGCAGTAGGAGCTCTTGAACCCAAAATTCTAGGTCAGCCTATGAACCATAGTGAGATGCTATCCCCCCCTAAAATATATTGTGTACTGTAGTATATTGTATATTTCAAGGAACATAAAACTCTAGTAAGTCTTGCTTAAACACGATTTATTTTTAGTCATAAAAGCTCTGGAGCATAACATTATGGGAATGACATTTACAATATGGACATGCTTTTGGCAAATGAATTTTATTTAACTTTACCACCAAAAAGTTAGTCTTATCTTAGCTTGTTTATAGTGTAGACAAGCTCACTGAGCCTTGTGTTCTTCTTGTTACCTGAGCATATAACCTTAATCCCTCAAGAGCCTTCCTTGCTCTTGACCCAAAATAATAAATGAATGAATGTGTGTGTGTGTTTTATATATCAATCTGCAAACAGTGTTTATGTCATTGAAAGCAATGGGAGATAATCAGTCTCATTTGTGTTTCAAACAATAGGTGGGATTAGACTGATAACATCTGTTTGTGGTTGTGTGTGCTGTCCTAGGTTAGTAGGGGTCAGAAGGGACAAAATCCTCTGATAAGACAGTTCCATTTTTACTTCCCCATTTCATGCTGGATATACAGTTTCAATAAAATATCCTGTTTTACAGCACCTTTCAGAGAGTAATCTAAAAGAACAGGGGCCCAGAGTAATTCAGGTCTCCTCCTGGCTAAAATAGATGCTGAGTTAAGCTATCTTTATTCAAGCATTACATAATGTGGCATTGAACAGTAATTTCATATAAAATATGTAATATTCTTTTAAACAATTAAATGTATTATGAACTTAATTCAGATGAACCAACTGAAGAAATTATTATTGTCACCAACTAGTTAGCAGAGGTTCTTCTGCTCCACCTGGAGAGAAATCATGGGTGGACAGGAAGCTCTTCAAATGCTGGCCTCTAGCAGCTTTTGTTTCCCCCAATAGGCAAGTAGAAGCAGCAGTCACCATGCCAGCCTCAAGAATCAGGTGCTGACTGCTGCGGTTCCTGTGCAGGCCTTGGCCTCGGCAGTGGCCAGCACTGGCAGCTCTCAGTCTGATGGCCTTGGCCCTGAAGACTTCACAGCCCTCTGGAACTCTTCTGGCAGCCAGAGCCTGCAGGTTCTTCTGTTTCTTTGACAGTTTTCATCGGCTCTCTGCCGTCTTGTCATCTTTGCTCTGTTTCCTTGTCCTGGCCATTCTCTAAACCTTTAGCTTCTCCTTAGTTGTCAGTGACTGCAGTCAGAACAGGGGATTCAGAGTACTTGCCTTTGTTGGGACAGCATTTGGGAGGCGGGTACCCAGAGGGTCATTCATGAACTGGGTACCAGATGTAGCTAGACCCAGACATCTCCTACTATGGGACAGGATCTCTATAAGCAGATGGGATCTCTGGGTGAGATCAGCAGGGTGTCCCAGGCCACAGGGCCACATCAGCACTGCCAGGTGAGTCCCAGGCTTCTACAGGCCACCCCTTCTTTAGTTGTCAAGTGGTCTCACCAAGGCCTTACCTCCTCCATCCTCAGCAGTCAAGTAGATACTTTGTACTGTGAGGTCAGGGCCCGGGCTCCAGAACCAGGCTCTGGTATAAGCAGGTTGTTCATAAGTGCAGGGCTGGGTATCAGAAACAGGTGCCAGCCACTGTGACTGCGTCTGAGACTACGAGACCTTGTCAGATGTTCAGCAGTTGCACTTGAAAGCCTGAGTCTCAGGAACTGAAGCAGTATTGGGCACAGGGGCAGTGCCAAGTGATGTTGGCTCCCATAGCACTGGGCAGTGTCTGATTTCTCTGGTGGATCTTCAGCTCTTAAGCCATGAGGTGGTACTTACCACCCAGGAGATCAGGGAGGTGCTACGCTTTTGGGTCATTACACAAGGACAGGTGCATCTCAGCATTACTGCCTCCATCGTCCTCATCTTGCTGCCTTCTTACCTATGCTCTCTTGCTGCTTTGTGTTTACAACATGGCCTTGATTTTTAAAAGTAAGCAAGAAAAGACCACCTGGGATTAGTCTCGATTTGACCTGGTACTGCACGTGTGTAAGACTTATTCACCCCAGATAGGGAACAGACCAAAGTAACAATTACACCAAAGTCCAACTTGGTGAACCACTAAGTTTATTGGGGATACTAGTATACGTGAGGGGTAACTTACAGGAGCAGAGATAATTCAGAGATAGCTACTCATGGAAAAGCCCACCCCTATGGGTAATAGTTCATGGAAGCTGAAACCCTGGAGCTCTCTGCATGATGTACAAGCAAGTTGACAGGCTGGAGAATCTCTTCCAGGCAGCTCTGACTCCCTTCTTCTCACAAGCAATGGTTTACTGTTTCTGCATGTTGAATTGTGTTTCAGCTTTCCCACCATCTTGTAAGTTTCAGCTTTCCAGCAGGAAGTAAGTTTACTTCCTGAGTCTCATGCCCTTTCCCCCTCCTTCCTAAAGGGAATGTTTTAACTTAGAACTTCCTGAGCCTTAAGGAGCGCCCTTCCAGGATGAAATGTTTGAACTTGGAGGAAATTACTTCACAAAACCAGGATAGGTGGCACAGGAAAATGTCTCCCAGTCAGTTCACTGGGTAAGTTTAAGCAGCCTGCTTATATAGCCTGAGAAGGTTGCTTAGACCAGGCACAACCATTTATTTGGCCAATCACAATATTTGTGTTTGTGACCAATCATGGCCTTCCCA